TTGGACGGATGGAACCTGCAAAGATTGCGTCCATAATCTTGTAAGCTTCACGGATCCGACAAGAATCTTAAGAAATGTATCATTTGAAAAAGTTGATTGAACGAATCCCAGTCTTGACACATTGAATTTTCTTAGTAGAAGTGAATCAGAGAGAACTAGAGACCACATTCGTATGGATGAGACTCCAAAGCATAGCTATTGTGAACCTCAAAAATCATGCCTAAATCATCCAGAAGGTCTTTTTTTCAAAGGGGTGGATTTTATTACCCGATCCTATTGACTCGAGATGATTGGTACTTAAGACCCTTGGTTTTCAAGGGCTGTACAGTGAAAAAGTGGAACAAAAATTCGACCGAAAAAGTGGGAGTCGTCGAGCATTTGCCATAAATCCAAATCACCTCTCAACCCACCATAATCCACTCATCGACCTCCAAGTTTTCGAGTGGAGCGGAGTGGAGAGTCAGCCCACTGTGTGGACCCAGAGCGGATCCTTGAGACTTTGACACTTGAGACAATTTAGGCACTCCACCGATGGCCTCTGTCTCACAACATGGCTGCAGGTTTTCAAAGAGCGACAAGATCTACACAAGGCTATGAAGAGATTCGATTCCTCTACACCTTCTTATAATCCTACACGGTCTTCTCGTTCTTCTGAATCACCATTTTTCTTTTGCCCTCTATGAGCACCCACTAGCGAAGTAAACTTGGTGGCTGGTGCCATAACTGTCTATCTGGTCAAGCAGTCACACAGCGAAGAGGCAAGCGACTGGATCCTCGTCACTCTGCCAGTCATGGTATCGCCTTTTGAAGGTCGAATATCATCATCACCTCGAGGAGGCATAAAAAAAAATGCTGTGGTACTTATTGGCGGATTATTTTAAGGTCCCGATGGACAAGTCTGAAGCCCCCACAGCGGAGGCCAAGCCCATGGACTTGGCTGGTTGCGCCACGGATGAGAAGCCGACGTGGTCGAAAATAGTGGCCAAGCGTGGTGGTGAAACCGGCGTTAATGCTGATGAACTGGCACCGTTAGGATGTACGATCTAGTAGATGAGACCATAAAGGCACAATTTGTTAGCACCGTCAGCAAGGCTCGCACGCTTGGCTGGAACCGCAGTGATGATACTTGTCGAACGCGGTTGCTTGATTCGCCGGCCGCATGCTAGCCTGTTCTCTATTCTTCTCCGGAAAGAGCTAATAGCAAAAAAAGAGTCAGGCCAGAGTCCTCTATTTGGATTGCATGCCTCATAATTGGTAATTAGGCATGCTATACTCGCCATATGGGACTCCAGAGTGCTTGTAGAAGGGTGGGGAGGTTGGCGGTGAATCATCCATATTACAGGATCTAGAAACAGCTAGCTACAGTCACTTTTACCTGCGTGATTTGGAACATGAATAATCAGAGGAAAGAAACGAGACGATGACTGGCTTCAGGGATTTTCTGTGGAGTTCTTATCGCGAGAAATGAAACGTCTAGCCCTTTTCCAGGCATGGCTCAAGCGTGGCTTCAACCTTCGGAGTTAACTGTTAGCCCCGAACATGGCAACGAAAGTCCAAT